CTTAATAGTAGAGGGTGCTTTTAACAAGAGGGCCTAATTGTATCTCATTTATAGCAAATGAGGGACTAATTGTATCTCAATTATAACAATTGAGGGAATAAATTAACAAAACCTGAAAGAAGGGATCTAGATTGCATAACATCAAACAACTGAGGGACTAAAATGGAATTTTTTTTATACTAGTAAAGTATGGAACACATCATAAATAAAGACACACCTATCGGCGTATCTTAATGTATTGAGTGTGTGTTCACAAGAACCAGCATTTGGAGAGATACAGGATATCATAACAGTCCTTGAATTTCCAACAAAGGAGTCACGAAGCACTTCCGTTAGTTTGCTCCCTCGAAATGGAATATGAATCTGGTCATTGTCTAGAGCACGTATACACTCTTTGAGAGCTAACAAGCTCTTGTTAATTTCTGCTCCTTCGATCCTGAAATGTACTAAAGATTATCTTCACAAGGTGAAACATAAGAAAATTTGAAGGGAAATATGCCAATCTTGGAATACGGTGAAGCAAAATAATTCAAAGAGAATAGACAATTAGATCAGCTCTTTCCAGAATAGAAGGTTAGAAGGATGGCGGGAAAAAAGTGTTTTTTTTTCTCCACGAGCTATCAGGAGGAAAGTGCTAGACTGCTAGTAATTTGCTATAAACAAGTCTTAGCTTAAAACTTTGCCATGTCCGCTTAGTTGAAGATGTGCAATAAAGTTTGAAAACAACCTTTCGAGTACATCATGGTTCCAATTTCAAATTTCATAGTGTTATCCTCTGCTTTCAGAAAAGCATTTTGCTCTATAATCTTTTTAAACTTTTCCTGTTTTCACTTTTTCTTGTGTTTGGCACAAGAAAATATTCCTCGGAGTATGATTCTTTGAGCTTTTCTGTGAAATGGAGCAATGTATCTCTAGAAAATATTTTAAATAGTCTTAAAAAGAATAAGAATTTGCACTACCTCGGTCCCAAAATAAAACAATTTGGTTTACGATGGTTGACTGATTTTTTTTCAATACATTTTATTTTAAAATTGGTGTAGAAGTAGAAAATTAAATTTATATATTTAAAACTACATCAATAGTTCGACAAAACAAGAAGTGACCTTACTATTATTTGGCCAAATTATTGATGAAAACATATAAAGAAAGACGATATAGTCTGACCATGTGAATAGTAATTATGTCTTTTAATTTGGGACGGTGGGAGTACTATACATAGCGCAACGTATTTCCAGAAAAGCATTTACAGGAAAAACACTTTCTGCAACAAGTTATTTTCCTACAATAAAATGTGGCCTTAATGTAGCAAAGTAGCAGAAATATAATACACATGCAGAAGATAAACTGTACATGTTGATCCACTTCCATCATGGGCATTAAAATTTAGTCTAAAGTTGAGCCATATAAATTGGGTGTGATTAGTGCAATATTTGTCACCTTGTTTGTCGGTCATTATCAGTTGTATCGGCCCCTCTTTCACTACCAGCAAGGTCAATAAAAGAAAGTTTCCCAACCACCTTTCCACCCTTGGAGTCATTTCCATCATTATTTCGGCGAGATTCTTTTACCTCGTTGTGTTTCTTGACAGCAAGCTGTAGTATAGCATGTGATCTTGATGATTCCTCATTAGCACCGGTGGACCCTGTACTTCTTGCACCATTTCCCCTTTCAATATACTCTTTTACTATTTGCACATCAGAAACTTCAAACTCTTGCAATCCAACAATGCAAACCTGTTGCCGCGCATCTTCCCTCATACATAGTTTCCTGCATACAATTCAAGTTGTTAGTTAGAGCTGTAGTGCTGTTCCCCACACAGTCCCTTCATTCCAGCTTGAAACTGTCATTAGCAAGAAAATTATGCTCCCAAACATGGATTTATTTAGACTCTATAAGAAGCCAATTGTGCAGAAGAAGAAAGGTTAAAAAACATGTATTCCTTTCTTCCAAGTACTGTTTCATACACTTTTGTCCTAAAAGCATACAGATTATAATTTACTGAAAAGGGATACAAACTTCTATATGATAAAGTTAGTTAATCAAAAAAGTATATCTTCAAAAGTAAAATTTTACATGACTTTTATTAGTTATACTCTCCCAAAAGAAGTTAAACCTTATCTAAACAGGACTCCATTTGGGGATGGGAGAGAGTAAGAAACAACAGCGTTGTTGATATCATAAGCAGGCGAGGTGGAAACTGCTAATTAGAATTTCACATACTGACTAGTTGCATTTCATTTG